CTCCCAATGAGCTGTGATTGACGTTTATTTCCACGTACGGTGCATGCTTGCCGATCTTGTAGGAAAGTCAGCATGAGTCGCTCATACCTTGTGGCACTGAGAGGAAACCCCAAAGCGGAGAGGGAGATGCGATTTTGGGCGAGCACTAACTCTGGAAAAAACTGGACACTCGTCTTCAATCAATTCGTTGGCCTTCACTGTGGAGACATCATGAGTGAGGCGGTGGTGCACCCACAATGGCGCCAACTCCTTGAATTGGAGGATGACATTTTTGAGGAGTTGTGTGTCGATTTTTTCAGTACCTTAACCATTCTCACGAAAGACAGCACGCTCGACGCTTGGAGGCGCAGGGTGAAATTCCACTTGGGTGGGGAATGGCACAAAATGTCTTTTGACGAGTTTGGCCGATTGCTGAGAGTTTACAACAAGAGAGAGGACGAGTGGGAAGAGGACGCTATCAGAGTTTGCGACCTGAATGCAATATATCACAGGTTTTGCCTCCCGGAGTACCGACGAACACCGTTTCGATCGACACTCACATTGACATCCACACTCAAGCCACAGTGGCGCATCATCAACACACTCCTAGCCCATTCCCTCCACCCGAGCTATAACAATCCAAACAAGATACCGAGAGGATCTTGTTGGCGTTTGCTTCCATGGCGGATCCGTGTAGCAAGCTTCATCTTGGTTCATTCTTGGCCACCTCTTTCGCCAGAGCAATAGGTGGAAATCGACGATATATCACACTAATGAATGTTAGTTTGGCGGGCTGCACATATGAGGGGCGCTCCACGGGGTTCGAAGAGAGCACTTTGCGTTCCATGCGGTTGCTGGGATCGTTTGGTCTGTTCCAATTCATTGAGGGACTACCTCTACCACCAGAGATAACACCTCCAGAGCAGCCACCTGCTAGAGCTCCCGGCCGCCGCCGGCGTCCTGCGCTCCAACGCCCTATACCACCAGCAGTAGCAGCAGCAGCACCAGTCGGTGATCCCCTCGTCCAGAGGACGGATCGCCTCGAGACCCATGTCGTGGGAGTGACTTCCTGACTCAACCGACAGACTGACCTCCTTGAGCAGATGGCTCGACGCAGGGTCTCGTTCGAGATGATGAGTCGGGGCCTTCGAACTAGTGAGAGGTAGCCGACGAGAAAGATCTGTGGCAAAGCCGATTCCTTTTACCTCACTAGGGATGGCAGAATTAACCGAGGGACCGGTTAGCCACCCGAAACCGACCCGGTCAACGCGGTCTAAAACCTGCATTGACTCTGACTAAACTCGGGCGGGGTTCGGGAAAACCCGACATTCGTAAAACGCGGGGATGGATATCACATTATCCGCCCCGAATGGAACCCGAAACCACCGATCTGAGATATCTGACGAACCCTCTCTTTCTAAAACCCCACTTATTCTCATCACCTACCACAATTCTCAATACCCACCTCTTCGAATTCTCCAATTCATTAGCTAATTCGACCCCAATTCCTTCTTTAGTAGCATGTATTAAAGTTTTGGCCTTTCCCAATGCTTGAAAGAAGCTAATTTTGCATTCGTAGAGCTCCTCCAAGGCGCCACCAACCCACCAGCCTACATGATTCGATCTTCTTGTCCTTGAAACTTGTTTCATCTTTCTGTCCTCTTAATTATACAATTAATCTGTTGTCTCTCCATCCAAGCCTGAGTGTATATATACCTTGTTCTTAACAATCAAAACCAAAATTCTTTATCGAAACCAAGAACCTAGTTTCTCCATCAAAGAGCAGAGGTCACAACCATTAATAGCAAAGAAGAAGAAGAAGAGTAGAGAAGAGTCTGCTAACTTACTGGGTAAGAAGTCAGAACCTTACTCAATACTCACACCCTTATGTTAATTCTGCTTGTTCCCATTCTGTGAAATCTGGAATTTGGAATTCGGTGTGCAATCTGTTGTTTTGTATCATTTGTGATGTTCTCGGCTGTTTGTTATGGATGTGGTTGGTCTATGCTCTTGGCTGCTGCTATTGTTTTTTATTTCTTTCTATTGTTTGCTTTGGGGATTCAGATTCAAATCAGATTCAGATTCAAATATTGTTGTAGTATGTTATGAATCTTATGAAGTTTGTTCATTCATTCTGTATCACTGTAGTCTGTGAACTCTGGAGTTTGAGTTGTAAATTTTGTTCTTATGGGATTCATATCTTATTGTAGGTGAATATGGAGGATGCTACCATGACTCCAAATTCTCATGTGAAAGGGACGGATACCACTCCACTACCACTAAGTGAAGCTATGTATGGAACTAATCCCATACAAGGAGTTCGAGTTGGGGAAGAACAAGTGCAGAACTTGAATGAGACAGTAGATGAAGAAGTGCTTGAATCATCGAAGCTCAAAAGTGACGTTCTGAAGCATTCTACAAGGGTCAAAGTCAAGGGTGATATCGAAGCAAAATGCAATCATTGCAAGAAATTAGTTGGAGGTAACACTCAGAATGGGACTTCACATCTAAGGAATCATCTGAAGAGTTGCTTCCATAAATGAATCCATGATAGAAAACAAAAGGTACTTGGCCCTAACTTGGTTTCAAAAGGGAAAAAATAAATTATCTCCTCTGCATTTGATCCTGAAGTCTCAAGGAAAGAGCTGGCTGTTGCTATACTAATGCATGAGTATCAGCTATCAATGGTTGATCATTTGCATTTCAAACGTTTCATCTATTCACTTAAACCTTTACTTAGTGTCCCATCGTGGAACACTATAAAGAAGGATATATATATATACGATTCATGTTGGAGAGAAGTCTAGAATTCAAAAAGTTCTAGACAGTAACAAAGGGAAAATTGCTGTCACAACTGATATGTGAACTGCAAGCAACCAGAAAAAGGACTATATGGCTGTCACTACCCATTATGTCGACAATTCTTGGGCTCTGAGGAGTCATATGCTTAGGTAAGTTGGGTTTTTTCCATCTACAACTTAAATTTATTTATAGTTATCATATTATTAAGTCAGCTCTATGCCTCTATCAATGTTTAAGTGATCATACATGTGTTATTTTTTTTATGTTTGACTGTTTGCAGGTTCATATATGTTCTAGCTCCTCATACAAGTGATCATTTGAACACTATATTGGTTAAGTGTCTACAGGACTGGAACATTGATTCTAAGGTATCAACTATCACTCTAGATAATTGTAGCACAAATGATGCTATGATTGAAAAGATCAAGAAAAGGTTGGTTTTATCAGATTTATTAAGCGATGGCGCTTTGTTGCAAATGAGGTGTTCTGCTCATGTTTTGAATTTTATTTTCAAAACTGGTTTAGATGTTGTGAGAGATTGAATTGAAAAAAATCAGAGATAGCATTTCTTATTGGAGTGCAACCCCAAAGAGGATAGAACTGTTTCAAAGCACAGCGAAACAGATGAAGCAATTGCGTGTTCCCCATGATAAAAGGCTGGTTTTGGATTCCCCTACTAGGTGGAATTCTACTTATAATATGCTTGCTGCAGCAATTCCTTACAAAGATGTTTTCAATCGGCTCAAGCAACGTGATTGTCAATATGACTGTCTTCCCACAAACTCTCATTGGCAGTTTGCATCAGTTATCTGTGAGAAGCTTAAGGTGTTTGAACACATATCTATTTTGTTTTCAGGATCAAGATATCCTACTGCCAATTTATTCTTTAAAGAGGTTTGTGATCTGAAGGTTGAGATTACTAATTGGCTTCTTGATCCTGATGATTTGATATCTAAGATGGCATCTCTTATGTGGGAAAAGTTTCAAAAATAATGGGCTGATATTCATGAAGTTTTGGCAGTGGCAGCTACCTTAGATCCTCGATATAAGGGAAAAAATCCAAGAATACTCTAATTATTAAAAAAATTTCCCTAAATACAGTACTTATAAAATTATTTCCCAAAGTACATCAGTTTCAACATCACTGTTGTAGACAGACAGTGATTATAATCACCGTTTTGGTCTAAAACGATGATAACATCACCGCTTTTGACAAAAGCAGTGATGCTATCACCGCTGAGGAGAAAAACAGTGAAACAATCCCCGCTTTTGAGGACAACGAGGATACTATGACCGTTGATAAGGGACGCGGTGAAGAGATCTTCACCGTTGGCATCAAAAGTGGTGAAGTGGCGCGAATCGCTGACGTGGACGCACGCGGGCACTTCACCGTTAATGACTAAAGCGGTGATAGCCCCGCTTTCCACGTCACCGATCCGCCCCACCCGTGCCTTCACCGCTGCCGTTCGATGCGGTGAGGCGCGGATTGTGGTTTTTCTCCACGATCCGACGCCTCACATGGCGCCACGTCATCTATCCGGGCCATCACCGCTTTTGTTGGACGCAGTGACTTCACTGTGTTTCTTGGACGCGGTGATTAATGCTCCAGACTTTTCCAGCGCCCAAACCCTATAAATACCACTCCCCCCCCCCCTCATTCCAAACCACACCACCATTTTATACTTCTTTCTCCCTCCATTATTTCACTCTAGTTTCGTTCTAAGTATGCTCTGTGGTTGCGGCTAAGTCCGATCTTCCGCATCAGAAAGAATTACTAGAGTTTTTGTTTTGTCGATACTCTCGCTAGCTTTTCGCCAAAAAATGGACGAAGAGGCTCTGAGAGTACGTAAATTTATTTTATTCTTTTGTGATTTTTTTACATGGGTGCTAAAATTTAAATTGATTTGATTTCATATTTTTTTATAGATGGGTGCTGAGATATACGACCCTCGATTGTATATCGATCCTGGCCCAAGTGATCGAAGGTATTTAACCGGGCAAGATCAACATCGTTCCCGTTCAATTTGGAACAATAATCCGGTAGACACACTAAAATTATTTCAATAGTTTTAAAGTTTTTATTTTGCTTTCTATTGACTGACAATATTGTGTTTTTTGCTTTGTAGGAATCACTTATTCCCATCAGTCATCGAGGGACATGTCGATTGCCCCGTTGGCATGCTCGACTGCAGCCCTATCTAGAGAGGACGGGATTGCACATGCTGAGGCACTTTATGAGGCTTGATATTGACAACGATCTGCTGACGGCAATGGCAGAGCGATGGCGCCCCGAGCTGCATACCTTCCACTTTCCCGAGGGTGAAATGACGATCACCCTCAAAGATGTTGCTATCCTCACCGGGCTCCCGATCACCGGAGATGCCATCATCGACAACTCAAGAAAACCGGAAGATGGTTGGGGGCCATTGATTCAACAATGTTTGGGGTTCAACTTGCCAACCACCACGCCCGTCGAAGGGGCTGGGCATCCACCACTGAATGCGGGGCAAGTATCGATCCCGTGGCTTGTTGACCACATCCAGTTGGAGGTTAATATAGGCCCGGACACTCCTGAAGATCAGGTGGAGCGGTATGCACGTGTCTACCTAATTGGCTTGGTTGGTGGGTTTCTGTTCCCCGACAAGTCAAACCGGTGGATACAAGGCATGTGGTTACCTATGCTCCTCGGTGACTGGGACGAGATCGGGAAAAAAAGTTGGGGGTCGGCCGTCTTGGCTGGGATCTACCGAGAGTTGTGTACTTGCTCGAGGTTGGGAGCGAAACAAGCTGGTGGTGCGATGTTCATACTCCAGCTCTGGGCATGGGAGCATCTTCCGTTTTTCGCACCTCGAGACCCTCGGGAATTCTGTTTGCCAGATGATGAGCTACGATTTGTAGCAAATCCCCCATATGGTTTCAAGTAAGTTCAATTTAAGTTGAATTTATTTTAGATATGCAATGGTAGTATTTTAGTGAATTTAGATCTATTCCAAGTAAGCGAATTTAGTGACATTTTAAGTATGCAATTATAGTATTTTAGTGAACTTAGCTATCTTCCAACTAAGCGAATTTAGAGACATTTTAAGTCTGCAATTATAGTATATTAGTGAATTTAGATATCTTCCAAGTAAGCGAATTTAGATTTATTCTAACCAAATCGTATTTAGCTAATTTAGATTATTGCCAAGTAGGGAATTTTAGTTCAATTTAAAGTCTTCCATACAATCATACTTAACAAGTAAACATCTATGCTTAAAAAATTGCTTATATACGTACTTTTGCTTAATTAGGTGGATCGGAGCAAATACAAACGACCACCAGCCCGAGCACTCTTTACTGTTTTATCGTGCTGAATTTGATAAGCCTTGGTGGAACCAGGTAAAAATATAAAATTTCATGATTTTCAATTTTTTAGGTGGAGTGGATATAATTTTTACTAATTCCATGAATTATAATGATTGTAGGCGGTATGAGATCCATATCCAAATGAAGTGGTTGAGTTGCATCATCTTAGACATCCCGAGGATCAAGAGACATGGTTGTGCAAGGTGCCCTTAATCTGCTGGCACATGGTGGAATGGCACCTGCCTGATCGATCTTTGAGGCAATATCGATTGGAGCAACCAATTCCAGCATCCCCACCTCAAGGGTTCAGGGAGCTCCACGCCATTGACCTACGCTACACCAAAAAGGATTGGGTCCGCAAGCATGAATTCTACATCAACATATGGGAGAATAGAAATCAGTGGGTGGTCCAAGGGGCGCCGGAGACGAGGCCAATGGGGTACCACGATGGCTACATGCGGTGGTATCAGAAATTCACGCTAAGATGGGTGTCAAAGCAAGGTGCTATTTGGGGCGCAGTGGTAAGTGAATTCCATTTTGGCCTCTTTGTCTTAATTTTTTGTAGTATGATTACATGCCTATATTAGCTAGAATGTTAATTAACATTATTAGATTTGAGGATCATTATTAGATTTCAATGTTAGTTAATTTTGTACAACAATTTATTAGGTTGACGGTTTGGAACATGCCAAGCACACTGTCGAGAGTGCACCCACCATGGACGAGCGGAAGACATCTTTTTTGCGCAGACTTTTCAACAACCTGCTCTCTTGTACCCGAGAGCAAAGGAGGGATGTCGTATTATACCCTCCAATGCCTGCTCCGGCCTGACCTTCATTCCGTGCTGATGAGAGGATCGTGCCCCCACAAGAGCCCCCACGGAGGAGCAGAAGAAGGGTGAGAGAAAACATTGAAGAGCTTCATCCGTCTCAACAAACTCAACTTCCTGAACCATGGCCACATTGTGAGTGGGCAACTAGTACTGAGGACACCGGAGGGTCGTCCACATGTGCAGATCTTGACCTTCTGCCCATATTGCTCCCGCCCGGTGTATTTGACGGATCGTCTTCATCTTCTGCTCGTACTTTTTTGGTTGATGTGCAACCGCTACAAGACCGGAGAATAAATAATTAAGCCACAAGAAATTTCATTTGAACAATAAACCATGAACAAGCACTGAATTACATTACTACATGCACTCCACAATTGATCTCTTATGTCTTTCTTCTTGCCAAATTTGTGTTGGAAATTGGTTAGGAAGTGACGAATACACCAGCGCCATGTCCATCCCCATTCGTCGGGAAACCGATGGCGTGTTTAATCTCGGCATGTCGATCCGATATAATTGTAATACCCATTCTTTGTGTGACGTGGGCGTGTATCTGGTCAAAGAACCATGCCCAACTTAAGTTGTTCTCCCCTTCAACTAATGTAAATGCTAAGGGAAAAATACTTAAATTTCCATCAACCCCAGTGGCAATAAGAAGAGTTCCTTTATACTTCCCAGTAAGGAAAGTTCCATCAACCTGTTAAAATGAATAATGAGTTAGTAAAAATAGAAATTAGTAAAGTAATGAACTAGTACTTTAGTTTTGAGTCCGTAATATACCTGAATCACTGGCATGCAGAAGGGAAACCCGTCAATGCATGGCTTGAATGTCCAGAACAGACGATGAAACATCAACTCGTTCTGTACTCGAACTTGATCTTCAGTTTGTACGTTGTTGTACCACGGCACGAAAACCGTCCCAGGGTTGGACTCCTCCATTGCGGACATTAGTCTAGGGAGTAAAGCATACGAGTCTTCCCAATCACCGTAGACCTCAGCCATGGCCTTCTGCTTCCCATGCCACGCCTTCTTATACCTTATGGTGTAGGAATGGCGATCCTTCACCTCGGCCATGATAGCTTTTATCTTGATATCAGGTTGTGCCTCGATTAGATGCTTAATGGTTCTTGCCACTTTTTTTGCCTTAAGTTGTCGGTGATCCTGTGAAAGTATGGTTGAAGAGCATCTGTGGTTGTTCTCTACTGTCCGCATGACCCAGACGCCCTTTCTCTTCATATATGCAGCCCGAAGTTGCCACATACAACCCTCTCCAGCATTCTTACAAATGACATGCAGTTGTTTGGTGTCAGAATATTTTACCTTCCATTCGAAGTTACGCCGCATGGCTTCTTTGCTAAAAGCATCTTGCACATCGGCTTTCGAAGAGAACGCCATACCCACTTCCAAATTAGCAGTCGGATTATACACAAGCATGGGCCGAAAGTCAGGGGCATCGTTCTGACCATATAAAAATTGATCAGGAACCTCTGTGTAGTAAGGCGTTGGTGCCTGACGGAACGCCACCTCTCTGTCATCGATATCGTCCGTATCTTCCTCCTCACTGACTGATCTCAAATCTTTCTCACTTTCATCGTCACTGGAGGCGAATGGATAGCTCGGCTCAGGATGGTCATCGTTACCAGCATAACCAGCATCGTCTTCTTGGTCAAGCGAAGTACGCCCAGATCGAAGGGTGTTTTCAATGTCAGCCCACTCTGGACCCCAAGCAGGCCACTGATCACCGTCGGGCTGAATGATATCGACGGCAGTCTCACCATGTTGCGGGTATTCTTCCCACCCAACACCTCCTTCAGAACTACCTCCTCCGTAGTTGCTTGAAGTACCTCCCCAGCCATACCCTCCTGCAGAAGTACCTCCTCCGTAGTTACTTGAACTACCACCCCAGCCATATCCTCCTGCAAAACCATCATCATAAGAATACTGGTGAGAATGAGTTTCACCGACCGGCTCGGTCTCGACATACACCTCTGCAAGCCGCACCCTGTTCTCATATATGAACTGTATCATCATGTTCACCGCGTCATCATCATTTATAACAACTTTTTCGTACATGATTCCGTGAGCACTCATGTTGGGATACCGGTAAGTAATTTGACCAACTCTCCTTTGCCCGCCCGTACAAGTCCTTTCTGCACAAATGTCATGGAGTTCTTGCCACGAGAATCTCGACTCAATTTTTAGCATACTGGATTCGCCATTTTCATAGTCGATCCCAATGTTCGAGTTTGTCACCCGGCCATTCCACCAAATAATAAGCCGAAACTTCTTATATTTACCCATGTCTGCAATTTATAATAATTAAGTATAGTATATAATTAGTACATTATGGATACAAAAACAATATCATCCAAACCCATAAACAAATGCAACTAATTGATCTATCATGAGAAAACTAAACAAATTCATCTAAATTCATAACTAACTAACTAACTAACTAACTAACTAACTAACATACACCTATCATTTCATAATTAATCTAAATATCTCATAACATATTTGCTAATAACTGAAATTCACTAAATACAGACAAATAATTACTAATACATCAACATGTAAACAATACATAATTATAACATACCGAATCCGGATGAGTTTCTTGAGCAGTAAACCAACTCCAAACCAGCTGAGAAAACGACCATAAAAACACTAATTTTTGTACTACTTTGGTGGAAGGCAGAAGGAGGGAAGTGGGGGTCGGAATTTATAAGGAAAAATGTCAGCTATTCACCACTGTGGACAATTGCGGTGAACACATCACCGCTTTTGTCCAAAACGGTGATAGCTAGGTCGCTGTGACCTAATTTTCCACCTACCAGGGCTCTAAAACGTGGTCAAATATCACCGTTTTGCACAACAGCGGTGAGGCAATCACTGTTTTCGACGGCAGCGGTGATACATTCCCCGTTGTTGTGAAAAGCGGTGATATGCTCCCCGCTGTCGTTAAGAGCGGTGATACCTTCCCCGTTGCTTCACTGTTTTAGAATTAAGCGGTGATCATAATCACTGTCTTTGACTACGACAGTGATGTTGAAACTGATGTACTTTGGGAAATAAGTTTATAAGTACTGTATTTAGGGAATTTCTTTTAATAATTAGAGTATTCTGGGATTTTTTCCCGATATAAGATGGTACTTGTGCAATATTACTCTGAGAAGTTTGGGAATGCTGAGGACAGTTTGGATGTCAAAAAAGTTATGGATGCGTTGTATGATTTGATTCTTGAATATCATACCAAAGTGAATGAGAAGGGTGATTTCTCATGTGTTGATGTTGCTAGTCAGTCTTCTGGTGTTACTGCCACAAGTAGTGATCTTGACTTTGATATGTATGTGAGCCAAATGAAGAAGTCCAGGACATCTACTTACAAGTCAGAGTTGGATCGTTATTTGGACGAGGAAGTTTTATCAAGGAATAATGACTTTGATATCTTGTTGTGGTGGAAACTTAATGGTGCAAAATATCGAACCTTGCAAACTATTGCAAGAGATTTGTTTGCTGTGTCGATTACTTCTGTAGCTTCTGAAGCTGCCTTTACTTTTGGTGGTCGCTTGTTGGATCCACATCGTAGAAGACTTCATTATGCTGCAGTGGAGGTGTTAATGTGTACAAGGACTTGGCTACAAGATGAACTTATGAAAGGTAATAACTCTTGCATTATCTATGTTTTATATAACAAGTTACTAGTGATTGAATCTGTTTTTTTATTTGCTTGCACATAATCTGATTCTGGAAAATAGGAGGAATATGCTTCAATACCCTAGGAGAATGGTGTAGAATCTGATCATGAGAAGGAAGGTAATAATTGTAACTTGCCTTAAGCTGATACTTCATTTCATTTGAGATAATTCATTGATTTTATTCATGTTTGTAACTGTAGAACAACCACTAGAAGGAAATCGATCAACATATTCTTTGCTTGATGATTGAAAGGTTTCCATTGATAGTAAACTGATTGGTAAGTGCAATCATCTATTTCTTGCTCTTTGATATTAGTTATATGCAACGTCCAACACTTTACCCATTTCATTTTTGTTTCTATGGATTTTTCCAGAAGTTGTTGCTGAATGTAACTGCTGAATGTTGATACTTTGCTGCTGGACTTTCCATGCTAAAGTGGAGAACTACTATTGTTGGAAAATGCTACCGGAATGGAATAATGTTGCTGGAAAATGGCTTTTCTTGGGCTGTCTTTTTTTTTTTCCTTCTATTTTCCTTTGTATGAAGACTTGCATTTGATTTTGGTAGTTCCCTAGATATTTGATTTTTCAAATGGGTTTGGTGATTTTTTAGGTGTGGGTGGTGGACTGAAGATTGGATGTTAGCAAACCATTCTATGAACATTCCAGTTTCTCTTTGTTACGTTGTTCTTATTGAATGTTGAAATGATCAAGATTTTGTTTATGTTGGATAAGTTGTTCTTATTTGATATTTGATTGTTTAAGGCAGATAACACATATATGTGATTATCCGGGTACCCGCCCGATATCCATGAGTATGGTAAGCAATATGGTATCCATTCCATAAAATAGTACATGCCCGATACCCACCCGAACTTTAGATGGGTGGGGATTGGATATCAACTATCCGTCCCCGATCCGACTCGTTGCCATCCCTACGCCACACTACTACACTTGGAACTCTGAACTCTTTTGTTTTATTTTCCTTTCTTTTATTTTGTGTGTGATCATAAACTACTACTGTCGTATTGTGATGTGTAATA